TATATAAAATATAAGTCATAATAAAATTATATTATAATAATATATATATATAATGTTATAATAAAATTATTTTTATTATTGTATATGTTTATATATTATAAAAAATAATAAACTGAAAAAAAATTCTTGTTTTTCACGTGACAAAATAAATATATAATGAATTTTAAACAGATTAATATATTCAAACTGATTATTTTCTTGCAATAAAATACTTTTCAATATAAATTCTCTAACATAAAAAATTTATTAATCAAAATTTATTTGTTGTAAAATAAATCGATAAAATAAACGACAATAAGATAAATTGATTTTTTATTAACTAAATATTATATAATGAAAACCTTTGTTTAAATTCTATCCATTTTTTTTTTTATTAGTATAGTATATAACGTTATTTCAAAGAAATAAAAATATATATTCTTTTAAATATAAATGAAAGAAATAAATTCAAGATTTTTTTTATATTTTTATGCAAATTCATGCTAACTTACAATTTCATCATATACTTATTAATTGAATGAAATAATGTAACGTAATTTATTGTTAATAAATAACAAGAAGAAAATTTTTTAATATTATGTTTTTAAAATTTAAAAATATTAATATTTTTAAAATTATTTTATATTATGATATTTTATATCTTATTGAAAAATTATTTGAAAATAATGGAAGCGAATGAATTATTGCGATATGATTATAAAATATATTATGAATGAACAAATTTAGAAATTCATATACTCGAAAATATTTTTTTATAATTAGACAAAAGATTTTATAATATAAAATAAAATTTATAATAAATTTTCATGTATAAATTCCTTTAAATATTTTATATAGATCAAGTATATTATATAATATTGTATATTATGTATATTATATTATTCATAATACATATGTATATATCTGTTATATATATTTTACTGTCATATAAGATATCTTCAGAAATCATGATAATGAAAATCTTTGTTTACGTAATTCGATAGATACTATTATTCTATTTGTTCATAATATATTGGATATATACTTTCATAGTATATCGCGCATACATCATAACCATATTTTTTTCTTTTCAATAAAACTTGTTTGATTATAACATTAATTTAATGATATTATAGTTTTTACATATAAATTTCTTTATCTAATATTTTATAATTTATAAAATTTCAAAATATATAAGCAATATTTTAATTTAAATTATTATATTTTAATTTGAATATTTATTTATATTTGTTAATAAAATGTTAATAATATATTTCTAAAATATCTTTGGAGGATCGAAATCAAAATAAAGATATATAAAAATTGAAAATATATATGAAAATTTGATATATATTAATAAAGTTTATTTATTTTGCTATAAGCATTAAGCAAGTTTAATAAAATAGTTTATTTAATATCATTAAATAAAGTAAATTAAAATAGAATTTCATCTCTATCAAATTGTTCTATCTTGCTCTATTTTATTGCTCTATATTTGTTTTGCTTCATTTAACAATTGCTTATAACAAAACAAATGAATCTTAATCGATATTCTTCATATCACTTTTTATGTTTATTTAAAATTAAACATCTATCATCTATTTANATTTCAAATTAAAAATATTTGCATAATATATATGAAAATTCTTATTTCATTTGATATTTATATGAATGTATAGAAAAATTGATATAAACTATTTTTAACTATATTCTTTACTTGTAATTAATATCAAAAAATATTTGAAAGAAAAAAATATACTTGAAAATTGTACATATACAATATATAAATTATATATATATATAAAATATTATTAAAATAAATCATTAATAAATTAAATTTGCTCATAAATACAAATTTAATTACAATTTGTATAATAATATACAATATTGTATATTATTTTATTATAGGAGATCATAAAAAATTTATTATTTATTTTTGTTAATAGAATTTTTTATCATATATAGTAATTTGAATAATTTAAACTATAATATTGGAATATTATTATATATATATATATATAATATATTTAAATTAGAAGCAGATTATAAGACAATTTCTAGAAAATGCAACTTAAATATTCTAAATATAAACTATTTGATTAATACATATTTTAAATTAATGTTAATTTAAATTTTCTTAAAATATATATAACTTTGGTTAAATATTGAAAATATATATATTATTTTTTAGTTTGAATGTTTTAATAAAAAATATAAACTTACCCAAAGCAGTGTAATAAGGGTCTCGTAATTATTGTCCACAGTGCCATCATAAATCTTAGTGGAAGAAATGTATAAACAAATAAAAAAGAATCTGCACACTGAAATAAAACATTTTTTTCTATTACATTATTATTTTTAATATTTTACTTATGTGATTTTGTTACTTTATATATTTAAATATAAATATAATATATTAAATTTAAAATTTTAAATATATGTAAAAAAAAACATTAATAATCTTAGAGTTAGAAAAACAACTTTAGAATTAATTTTAAAAAATTAATTATAATATATTTACTTAAAACCATTTATAAAAGATAATTATATAAATCTTGGATTATTCTATTAATAATCTATTAGAACTATATAAATTATATAAATTCTATTAAAATTACTTTATAATTGATCAAAAAATACTTTATTAAACAAAATATTTATGATATACATACTTGTAAAAATCCATAGGCCATAAATTTTTCAACTTCTCTTGGAATTTTCATAAAAGAATAAATTTTCTCTCTTCTTGCAGAAAATCTCTCTTCATCATTTTCTAATTGATAACCTCTTGTTAATTCCGTTTGTAAGAATTGTGCGAGAGAAACACCTGTAATAAAAATAAAAATTCATAAATTATATTTACTATAAATCATATATCAATTAACAAGCATAAAATTAATCATTATTTATGAAGTTTTAGAATTATATAAATATTTATTAAATAACAATATTAAAATAAAAATATAATGAACATATTATTATGATGTGAATAAAACATGTAATTGATGATATATATATATATATATATATGCAAATGAAATGTATAATAACTATAATTTATTTTTAAATATACAAATAATTATAAATTACAATTATCATATTTACTTTTAAATATTTTTCCTAAAATAATATTGTTGTAATAATAATATTGTTTTCTAAATATTTTAATGAAACATTATGAAATTGAATCATTTTAATTAAATATTAATTATCTAAAATTAAATATAATTATTTTAAATTTTATTTCAATACTTGTAAAATTCTTTTTCATTTTCTATGTGTAACATAAAGAAAAAAGATAATTACATATCTTATTATTTAATTATTATTATTATCTATTAATATGTTCTATTAAATTTTAAAATAAAAATTGAAATTTAAAAGTTATTATAAAAAATTATTATAAGATATCATAAATTAAATT